CTGTCTGTGGTTGTGGGATCTTGTTTGAGATCTAACGGAGGTGTTCAATTGTGTTTTATAGGAAACTCTGCTCAGCCGCTTGGGTAAAAACCAGCCACGCTTCGCAGAGGAAATTAAACAGCTCAATGCAAAACACGAGAAGAACTTCAACCAGTGGATGCTGCAGCTGCAGTTGTGTGTGTGTGTGTGTGTGTGTGTGTGTGTGAGAGGATGTTTTGATGGGTTAGATGATCATTGTTTTGAGCTGACATGAGTTGCACAATCGTTCTCAAGTGATTCGAAAATTCCCGCTTTCTGGTAAATTTGTGGTCATATGCTCACTTCAGCATTTGGTTCCTTCGAATCTGCTGATTGACCGTATTCAAGGTTCTTTCCCTGTAGCTGATGATGAAATATAAGCACAGTTAGGTTGTTTAAAACTGTAATGCTTCAGATTCAGGTTGAGTTGAGAAAACTGGCTGTGGATCTGTGAAAAAATAAAAGATTCTACAGCAATACAAGAATTACAGGAAAACATCTATTATGAAAGACAATTTCCTCCTAAGATACGAAGAATCATGTGCTTTCCTAAAAGCGTCTCTCAGTAAAAATTCATCCTTCCCTTGTGACTCAAATGAGCACAAGACTTTGTTTGAAAGAAGTTCTTAAACACATACACCTGAAATGCCACAATATAAAGACTAATAAAATAAACCTTAGTCCTAACGTGTAATTAGGTTACATATGTAGAAAAATAAATTATAATAAAATTATTATTATTGTTGTTGCAGAAAGTTCCTCAGGGGCAGGGGCTCAAATGTATAAAAGGGCCATTTATATTCAGAGAAGTTCCTATTTCATTTCATTTACTCACTCACTCACTCACTCACTCACGTGCGTGTTCTTGAACTTGAACTGTTTACACTTCACAATATGCCTGTTAGTGGCACTTGGGTTTCGTTTAACAACAATGATAGTTTCATCCAGCAGTAAAAGGTATGTCAATATGCAATACGTAAATAGGAGTAAACACTATTTACAATTAATGTAACAACTTAATCCGTGTATCATTCGATCATTCGTTTTTTGATTTAATATTGAAAGTAGAAAAATGAGAAAACTGCTCCTTTTTCGTTTTTTTTGTTTTTTCCCAAAAAACGAAAAATGAAAATTCAGCTTAAATTTTCTTGCCAATTTAATGGCAGAGAATGGTGACTTTAGGTTTTTGGTTTTTTTTTGGTTTTTTTTTAACGGATGCATATCTGTCGTAAAATAATCCTATGCATCACGTGGCATATATTCCAAGCATTCTGAAGGTATACTGAAGGTTTGGTGAGAAACAAACCGAAATGGCAAGTTATTATATTTTATGAAAATCTTGCGTTGCAGTGCGAGTGCGCAGTAGCTCACGATGCGCACAAGTGCATATCCTTT